AGTCGATTCAAGAATTCCACTCTTAGTATTTTGTATCCGTTTTAATTGAAAGTACTAGCATTTGGGAAATATACTTGTGTATTTCCCAGCAGATAGTTTGATGACAAGTTTGATACTAAAATCGAAAAATTAAATATGTAGCTATAGTAGCAGTAGATGATCAGCTTAGTTTAGCACAAAGACTGGAACCAGGGGGGGATAGGTAGCCCACTAGCTAATGCTCCTTACATAAGAAGCTGTTTCTTTTATTTTTAATACAATAATGTGCAAAACCTGAAGACGTGCCTGAAAGAAGTCTAGTAAATGGACGATACACATTTATAAACTTTTACTGTACAAAACATTACAGATGTTTTATTTTACTTGACAAAACACTAAACATTTCAAAATGCCCTTCTTCCTAATAAGGACCGCATTATAGTGTGCTTTCTATTAAAACTGCTTGTATATGCTCGTGTCACCCACGTTTTTTTAAGGTAAAGTACACGACGTAAATGACCTCACAGCACAGCCACTATGGCCTGCAGTGGCAGCATAGTTTAACCATCAGGTTTCACCGTGCCTCAGAATGAAAGAGCTTCCTACATTACGGCTTTTTGCAGCAGTGAGAATGCTGAGGGAAATCATCGCTGCAGAGGAAGACATAGCGATTCCTCCCCAGAGCACAAACAATCAATAATGTAATGCAGCCGCAAGATATTTGGGGTTTTGAGCAAGAGGTTTAACATCTTCTCTAAAGCTCCCTGAACACTACTTTCACTTTTTTGTTTTTGGGGGGTGGGGGAGTGGATATGAGCGAAATGTAGTAAAGGATGACCTGGGGTATCAGTCAGGCAGGTGGAAAAGAAGTTAAAAAACGAAACAAAATGTTATCTAGCTCGAGTCTCTGAAGTGGACTTGTTCTTTAATCTGTGGCTGTGTTTGTGAAATTGGAAAGCTTTGTGATGTGTAACCTCACCCCAAAGTACATTTACTTAATCATGAAATCAAATGTAAGGTATTAACGGAAGTATTTTCTTGTTATGTGATGCCATATTTAAAAAGGGAAATCTAAATGTACCTGATTTGGTAACAATTTAAGATTTGGTTCATAAAGCATGCAAGGAGCTTATAGGAGTGTTGTCATAAAACAATATTTAAAGCTGTTAGTCAATACATTCATTATTTCATTAACAGACATTAATACTTTTGTGAAAAAACAATGTTGAAAATGTATTTTGGGCTCTGGATAATTATAAATGCACTATTTGTCACAAACCAAACAATCAGTCAATAAATGTAGACATAATCAGCAGATTAAAAATGTATGATAATAATACTTTGTTGCGGTAAACCACCTTAACCAACTATAGCAGTTATGAGCTGCTTTTACAAGAAGGCCAATTATATAATATAACCTAATGAAAAAATATAAATCATAACCTTATGGTAAAATATGAAATTGTCAAATAGTCACAGGCGGATTTTTCCTACATTGAGTCTACTTTTCTCAGGATCTCTCAATAAACATACTTTTATTTTAATCACACTTTCACAGATCTGAATACTGTGTGTACAGCTTTGTCTGACAAACACTGCACTGAAAGAGTCCAACTGCACAACAACGATGCAATTTGTGTTGTATGGGCATGTAGCAACATAAGCAGGATTCCTTGGTTCCTTTCAGCTACATGTGGTCTGCCTATCAATCCCCAGCGATCCCACTCTCAGCTGACCTTGCTCGTTCTTTGGTGTCAGGACTGCGTTCAAGTGTGTGTGTGTTTCTTTCACTGCAACATTCATTCTCTATTAAGTGGAGACCGTGAATCTCTGGTGCACCAAACTCCCACGAGGACAGCTGTCTCTGCAGATGCTGGATTTGGCACAGCCTCTTCAAAGTGGAATCATGAGTCCTGCCTATTTGGGTTTAGTCAAACGGTAACAGGATCTCATCTTGCTATCTGCACGCTCTCTGAGTCACACCTGCATTAGTCACCGTGTGGAGACGTGCACGGGTTAGGCCTGAAAGGGAGTCAAAACACGGCAAATGTACATATTTTATGTAACAGTTGTGATGTTTAAGAATGAATTGTGGGTCCCAGTTCATGTAGTGTTCTATATTTTATTCAGAGCAGAATGCTAATGAGGGTTTTGTGCTCATATTTGTTTTCCTTTTCATATCTTATTGTTTCAGTCATGCCCTAAAGGCTTCACACATGAACTCCATGTGTCATCTCTTTACATTGTTATCATTGCAGTCATTAAAATGAGCTTCAAAGAGCAAAAGAACATTGAAAGAAAATAAGCCGACGTGGGAAGTCATCAACAGATTAAAAAGCTATAAATATGATAAACTGCTCATGTCAAAACTCGATCAAAAAGGAAAGTCTGACAATGCCTTCAAACTATCATTTGACGAAACAGGGTACACGGAGACCAAGCTGATCAATGCCGACCGACAGTGAATGTCAAGTGCAGGTCTCTTCAGGTGCACTTGAAGATAGCTGGAGAGCTAAAGTGGATAAAAGAGAGGAATGGAACGACCGGGTTGGAATCTGATTTATTCATTGCGTCCTTGGGAAGAAAAAGAGAGGGAGAGAGAGACTGCAGTGTGTTGCCAAGTGAGCTAAGTGACGGAGCTAGTGAACCAGAAAGCCTTGTTTTTTTTTTAGTGTGGCGGTAATCAAAGTATCCTCCCCATGACATGTCCTCTATCAGGCTTTTGAGTGTTCTCTTTCCCTCTCTCACATTCATTCTTTCTTTTCCTCTCACACAGCCACCCTCCCCTTAGTGACAGCCCATGTTGGATCAGATTAGCTTTCACAGCCACAGGCCTGCAGAGGCATCGAGCTCCAGAAACCAGCCAGTTTGACACGTGGAGGAAGAAGAGTGCGACCACACAGCGGGGGATGATTAGTCCTCTGGTGGGAGGAAGTGTGCTCACCTGCTCCTGGGATAAGATTATCACTTCCTTTCTTTGTCTCACTTACTGACTGAAAGGCCTCATCCTAATTGCTTGTTGCCTCTTGTTTTGCTCCTATTCTTGCAGGACAAATGCTGCCACTGTTTGATAGGTGAGTAAACTAATTCCAGAGAATAGTCTCATGAGCATCACGGACTGAAGTGCAGTGCCATCCTCACGTACCACTCCCCCATGTGTTCTTGTTCCTGTTTGAAAGCAGACCAGGCATAACAAAGACAAAACAAAACAAAAGGAGAGGCAGTGGAGCAAAGGAAGAACAAAAAAGCAATATCTTTTCATGCTTTGTCAGGAATGGGTTGTTTGGATCGTACAGTAGCATTTCATACAGCCAGTCTGTTCCACACTGCTGCAGCAAACAAATCCAGAATACCATAAAAAAAAAAAAAAGGGAAAACACTGGTCTGTTGCCATGTTTTGTTGGATTTGTTATTTGAGCTGTGGCAGGCTGGATCTCTGGAATTCATTTTGCCACACAATACAGACCCAGAGACCAGTAACATGACACTGACTGTCTGGACAATGTATTTAGCAATGTGCTTATTAACTGGGGGAATTTACACTGTGGGAATAAGCAGGGTTTAAATGATGAACCGTCCCCTCTGCTGTATTTACTATCAGTAAATCCTAATGAAAGCGTCCTCCCTTAAATGTATTTTCGAAATTCTCAATACTTGTGCCGGAATTATACGCGTCACATCCGTGTGCAGTATGTTTTGTAAGCAGTCGGTGGTTATAATATTACATTATTGATTGTGTCACATCTTACAGAGAGGAAGAGAGAAAGATCACATGCCAGATGAAGCTGTCAATGGAGCCCTCAATCAGGGGACGCGAGGCAGGGGAGCGAGATTGAAGCAGATGGTGCTAGCTATTGATCCAAAACATGCACACACACTTCCCCTGACTAACGGCTCAATATTGGACCTATTACAGGAAAAACTCCTTTCTTTGTTTAATTGTCTGCAGGGGGCTACTGATACCCTGCCATACTGGAGTAAGTATGCAGAGTTAGCCAAGACCTGCAGGCCACAGACATATCCAGGTTCAAATAGTGTTGTGAAATGACTTTGACCCAGACACAGGAGCACTTCTGTACATTTTATTTACAAAATGTATTAAAATTCTCTGTACAGCGCCTCACTAATGAGGTTCAGCAAATTATGCATGCATCGCTTGCTCTTTTGTACCCACTACTATGCCTGGTGATTTGAGTTTTTTTTTCTTTTTTCGTTGCAGAAGGTGAGGCGTAAATGAAATAAAAATAAAACGATTTAACTGATTTGCAAAAGAATAACCAGGGCTGGATATCTAATGTCAACCTAAGGTCGGGTTGTGAGTAGCAGAGCTCGTCAAGCATCACTGAATTCACACATGCAATTTCTTAGGAAAAAAAAGAAAAACAGTGAATCCAATCTTCAACCGTGTTGTATAAATAGTTCTCATTTATCTAAATGTACACATCTTTCTCAAATCGTTCCTTGTTTTTTTATTCACATTATCGGTTTCTTCACTTTTTTCTTTGAAATATAAAACGATCTGCCAATAGGTGATTAGATAGCTATCTTCCTAAATCCTATGGAATCACAGTCTTTTTGAAAGAAGGGAAATGATCACAGCAATATGGAAATGTGCTAAGCTTCAGGGCTCTCCCTGGTTTAACCTTGTACAAATCTATTTTCCGTTGTATTCATATATTTTTCATTTATTAAGTGAAATCACCAAAACACTGTAATGTTCATTAGAGGAAATCAAATTAAAAGCAAACCACAGCTTGTTGTAAAATGTGCAATTGTTAAAGAAAATGGTCAGGTAATCCAAACACACTACAGTTTAAAAGCCATTACTGTTATCCTTTAATTGGATTGCAGTTAATCTACAATTGAATTACCCTTTCTGTTTGGTTTTACTTTCATGTACAAGAGACTTGAAGGATTCTAGACTTCAGGGAAAGACTGTGTGGAGCTGCGAACCTTAGCGTGTCAGCGCTACTTTGATACTTTACAAACTGTAGATCAGAACAGATTTTCTTTTTTTTTTCCTTTGCTTTACACACTCTTTGTCATACAAAACACACTCTTGGCAGTATTGGAAGTGCGAATTATGACCTGGTTCTGTAGTGCATAAAAGCCAAACCAGATCATTTTCTCTTCTTCATGAGTCCCATGAAACGTTCAGAAGACAGTGGCAGCAGCACCAGAGTTGAGAGTACAAACAACACACTCAGGAATTGTTTTGCGCTGAATGGCATTTCGCTCCAGAAGATCAATCTGTCTTTTAAAACAAGCACAAGGTCACGATCAGTGACTTACAGCAGTATAAAAGCTAATGTCTTATAACCAGTGTCGTACAGTGCACTGAATAGATCTAATCAAATGATTTTAACACATATAACCAGTGAAAATCTGGCAGCAGAAGGATGAAGAGTAATCTGATCATATTGATTACAAGAAACCAATTAGACACTTGTCATATAAGATTAGTAGTCTTTCTGGCACTTCAAAGTGTGCTTAGGGTTGCAAAGGATGGCTTTAGTTCTCTCATTCATTGTAACATGTCAAATGTATTATATATATCTATCTATATATATCTATCTATATATTTCGATCACTGCACCATTCTTCTGTTTTGTATGAGTTTCAAGCAAAAAGCAATATCATTGCGAATGAGTTGCATTGATTGGACTCAGAGTTCCATAAGGCACTGAGAGGAGGGAACCGTTTCGGCTCTTCCCGTGACCAGTCCAGTCGTGTCGTCATTGCAGATTATCGTGCCGTGTACGCCCCGAGGATTTGGCTTGGAGCTCAATCCCCGTGTTCCTGTCCTTTCTTAGATGTTCAGTCACAGTTGTAAGGGACAATGGAAATGTTTCCTAAACCTGTGTCGACACAAAGAGCAGAAACAAACACGGGAAAAGTTGAAGTGTATCCTTATTGGCAGGAAAAAACCTTTGCTTGTGACTAATGTTGGCTGAAAAGTAGCGTATGAGTATTCAATATTTCAGCTTAATCCATTAAAGAATAAAAATGTTATCTGCTTTGATCTAAGTTGAAAGACTTCTCATGCAAATGAAACAAGGCCATTTTTTTTATTCTTTAAAGCCCCTTGAAACTAGGTTTGAAATGTTTCGTTTATCCCAATAACAGCAAATATATGCGACTAAATAAGCAACAATTAAATATTAAATCAAATTCATATATACGTTACAAAAGTTTAACCCTGAAAAACTCAGTATATTAGAAGCTTGTGTATGGGGTCTGATCATATTTGATTGACAGCACGGCAACATAAAACAACAAACCAGCTAAACGCAGACAAAAAGCACAAATACAGAAGTCTCTCATGTAAATAATCTAAAGTATGTACTGCTGTACTTCTGTAAACACAGATTTAGCACTTGTACATCAGAAGCAACAGAACACACACATGCCATCAGTCGAATCAAATGCAAAACTAACAATTTATTTAGCAGTGAAACTCAACAGGGCCCTTTTTTAAGTTAAGTGCTGTAGAACTGCTGTATACAAATGTTGTTATTAAATTCCAACTAGTATTAAAGTGCAAGTGAGCTTTTATTGCCTCTTAAGTTTTTACTGAAGAAATAGTTACACTTAGCTTTTCACAGTGCTCTGTGGTTTATTGCAGTAAGAGAAACAGGGTATATCTGGACTAATAGTGTTTTTAATTACTTAAATTAACAATGGGTAACTATACACAAATATATAACTAAATGACTATTCTAACTCTTCAGATCCACTAAGCACCACACAGCGTTCAGCACATTGTTTTGGTTTTCTGACTCACAGCTTTTCTGTTTTGATTCACTTTTACCGCACTCAAAAATGTTTAGATTTAACTTCCAGCTTTTTGATTTTAAGCTCTAACAAATCACTCCACGCTGCCTGCCCAGCAGTTAATGACAGATACAGTCAGTGACCAGCTGGTGAACATATATAAGTACGTAGCAGATAAAAAGACAGATATTTCGCTCAGAAAGTGATGGACACCAAAACAGACTGAATATTTGAGCTATAGTCCATATGCTGCCTTTTAAACGTTTTAAAGTCATAAACAGCTGGTTGTAGAGCAAACATTGGAAATATATCAATCAATACCACCTAAAATGTTTTTGTTTTAAAGCTGTGAACACCACTGATAAAGTAAGTAAGAACATTTGTTTTTTAATGTAATTTGGGATTAAACTGACACTTAAGCATCTGATTATAAACACAGAATAAAAAACCATCTCGACTGTGTGATCGCTCTACAGCAGTTCTGTGCAAGATACACGAGGTTGTGTATCGGGCATCTTGCTAAGGTTGTGTGTGGCAACCTTCAGTTAGCCCGAGGCACTACTCATGCCCCTATACGCTACAAAGCATAAGCAATATCTCAGAGTTTTGTATTTAAGTGGGCATGTGTGTTTTGTTGAACCAAACATGACAACCATAAACAATTTCACAAGCAGAAACAACACAAACAAATGTATTATTCACTCTCACTGATGTGACAGGAAGCTAAATGATTCATCTCCCACAGCGCTCGGGGACAGTGAGCAGACGTACCTCTAGATCTTAACGCTCTCGGTTCCGTATACGTTGTAGCCTTCTCTGTATGTGGCAAAGTTCTGGGTGTTGGTCGGGGGAGCCGGCTTAAAATTCTGGGCATTCTTGGCCAATTTCAGCCGTTTGGTTTCTTGCCGTGATTTATAACAGAACTCTATCAGAGCCACCATCATGGCCAGCCCCAGCCCTCCAACCAGAATATAGAAGACACCAGCCACATTGCTTAGGCTGAGAGCACTTGTCTTGTCCTGGAGGGAAGTGGATAACACAGTTAAGAGTTTTGCAGTGGAGCATGGACAGCAGAAAAAATACAGCCTATATCTTTCAAACTTATCCTCACATAGCCTTGGCTTAAACTGCTCTGGTACAACATCATCATACTCTATCTTACTGGGGCTACATATGGCAGATTATGGACACTAACAGCTACAAGCAACCAAAAAATTGAAGATGTAATGAGGTGCTAAGTCTAGAGTTTTTTGACTGAACTGATTCTCCTATGAGTGTCACAAAGTTGCAGAGAAACTTCCGACTGCCATAGTCAAACCATTCTCCACTGAGGAGAAAGAAGCCAACTCTTAGTGCTCTATCTGCTGGTGAATGTCGAGCTTTGCCTTCCCTACACTGCATGAAAGTAAAGTGGCTTCTGCTCTTGACCATGTAAGGAAGCTGGTCAGTATCGCATTGGTCGACGGCTCTGAAAATCCCTATCTTTTTTTAAATTCTCTTGGCGACATGTACGTATAACTCTCATGGCAACATTGTCATACAGTACAGTCAAATTCATAATAGATGAATGATAGCTCAATTAAAGTTTAAAAAAAACACTAAAGATCAAACCATTTTGCTGCTGCTTACCTACCAAACATATTCATTAAAAATTTGATCATCAGAGTTTTACTATTTGCAGTTTAACCCTATGAGTGTGAAGGTATCGTAAAGCTACCTGGAATCCCTGACCTGTAATCTGAGGCTTTGACTGCATCTCAGAGGGTTAAATAGTGGGTTTATTACATTCCCGAAACCTCTTATAATGTGCAAACAGCCTCTAACTTCAACTCCAGGCAGCCACAAGAATTAGAAGGCACCCTACGGCGCTCTCGCCGCTGAGAGAAGTTGAATTTCAGTAAGTCATCACAATAAGAGGCTTTGCTTGTTCATCACACCACAGGAGGCCAAAGAATCTAATAGACACATCTCGATGCAAACTAGTAACAACACAAATAAATCAAATTTTCATTAACAGTTTGGTAAATAGGAACAGCAGCATAATGGTCAAATATCATGAATGTCAAGAGTGAAAATGAGCAAAAATAGCATTTATCAACAACGATTAACTGCTGTGATTAAATTGAAATAGTGTTTCTGAAAGGCACTTTCCCCACATTATTATCATTACAGTTTCCACTAAAAAAGAGTTTCTATGTTTTATATTGCATCAAAGAATGTCTCCTTTCTATGGCAAAACAAGAGAAAATATGGATTTGGGAAAACAGTGCCTTGTGTTAAAGCCACATGTGAACTGTGTTACAGTTTGTGGCAGAAAAACTTAACTATATCAAAAAAAGAAAAAAGTATGTGTAGCAAATAAACAAAATGTACACTATAGATGTCAGAGAAGTCTTGTCTTGCATATGAACAGTACGTCAAAATGCAATTTGGAATCAGTACAAAAGACCTGCAGCGACTGACCTTACTTCCAGAGTCCTTGGTTCCACATTCACCCTTATCGTACCACCATTTGTTTTTCAGCTTGTCTAAGATGCCTTGTTCACTGAGTTTCAATACTGCAAGGTTTACAGGAGTTCTTCACGTGGGAAATAACATAAATAACATTATATTATGTTATTTTATGTTATTCAACTTTTAAACTACTACATACTTTACAAAGCGATAAGGCAGGACACCTGGCTGTTCAACATCACAGAGAGCAGGCATTCTAACTATTACCTTTATAACCCCTATGCTAAAGCCAGGACCTACCCATATCGCTTTGAGTAATCGGCAGACGCTGTTACCAGGGCGACGAGCAGGTACCGCAAGTACAATCTGCAGGTCTATGAATACCAATATCGGGGTACATTGTTGGGGGAAGGTAACGGATCACAGGGGCTTTCTGAACAGCTTTTTACAAGATCAGTCAAACAGGAGCTTGGTTTAACAAACAGAGAAATTACAGATCTACTTTTCTACTTCCACAATATCAGCTAAATCCTACTGTTGCCGGCATGACAACAATCATTTCTGCAGGTATTACGACCAATTTCTCATTCAAGCAGCTATGCCCAAAAGTAAAAGCTTAATGAATTCTTACGTGTTCTATCCCGTCACATCGCTAGGAAAAATGTATCTCCCAATTACTCCAGATTAGTGTCAGATGAGTGTGTCCCAACCAAACCGCACTGAGCTGCAGGACTAAGCTCAGAAGTATCAGTGGAATAATTCCTCTCATATTTGCCTGTAGCTGCATAATCTGATGTCTGACACAGCTGTTTTGTGCCGTTTGATATTTATAGGACGTCAAACTACTCGGTGTAATCATAAATTATCATAATGTTCTATTGCGCTGGATTACTCTAGGGGGAAAGAGCTGGATAAAGACTTTGTAGTGGTAATATAACAGTGGATCATTTGTGGTTTAGGTCGATCCCTCTGTGTAAAAGTGGGGAAAAGAAAGCAAAGAAAACAAGTGCATCGATAAAGGAGTGACCTGTTCTCCCTTGGAACAATGTCCCTGAAGGGGACACATACAATGCGTAATGCACTGGGAGAACATAACACCACTGTATATCCCTAATAGCCAATCAGGAGGAACGGACTGTGAGGACCAGACCATTGTCTTGCCTCGGTGAGACATTGATTAACAATGCAATTACCCCGTAACACGCTCTGTGTCTGAAACTCAATCTAGGCTGCACTGTGCTGGACCTGAGGGCAGGAGAGAGCAGTGGTTACTGTGTGCGCTTGAAGCTGTGTGCGTGATTATGTGCATCTCCGGATTTCTGTAGGAACACCGAGCTGTGAGCGGGACGGGGTGAAGCGATACCCCGTTTGGAGCTGAGCGCTCCGGGCCGCTTTATTCCACCCAATCAGGCCTTTCCGCTGAGTCCTGGGGAGCCAAAACAAGCCAGGAAACAGACTGTACATACCTGTGCATGATAAATCACTGATGACGGCGCAAGAGACAGATGCTTTCAAATGGCTCCTGAGCATCAGTAGCACAGGGAGGCCTCCTCGGCTCAGTGACTACAGAACATAGCAATGTTAGCAATGCAAACATTGAAAAAGGTGACATACAAATTCCTTTTCAGAAATAAACCACGGGCATTTAGCAAGACATCATTTGATCCATGCCTCATGCAGCCTCTTGTGGTGATGCTCTTTCAGAATTGACCGGCTGCAGCTTAACTGTTCATTGTGCTCTCGGCCAATCCATGACAAATGATATTAAGAGTGTAATGACACAATCTGCAGTCCACGGGACTTTGCGGCTTGTCTGTAATCTAACCAATTACCTGATCTATATCATCACATTTGTGCTGACAGCATCATTTGTCACTAGATTTACCTGGATTGTATTGTATATAATGCTACTGCTATACATGTCATTTTGTGAAAATATCACAATTCTTCATGGCACATAATTTAAGCAACATTATATTAAGTTGTCATGGTGGAGTGGGGTTTCACAATTGGCTCCATTAGCTACCACAAAGGAGAACATAATTCATAATTTAACCACAGAAGAAAAAAGGAGGGATCTGGTGGTCAAAAGGGTCACAGCTGGGTTATTACTGAGTGGGCTAGGAGCTGCATTCAGAGTAAGCAAACCAAAGGTGGTTCATGACATGACTCATTAAAAAGGAACCATAGGTATTTTTGTTTAATTAGAATTCTCACGTTTGCCTGTAATGCTTATTCCCCTCAAGACGCCGCTGTTCCCCTTGCTTCCCTGTCGGCCTCAGCTGAGCAGCCATTTTGAGGTTTTAAGGAGAATTTATCTCGATGGCTTTAAAGCTCAAGGGTCCTGGGCCAGTGTCATGGGTGCGAAGCAGCTGTGCGGTTGGAGTACTGCGAAGCTATGTATTTTGGAGGATTAGCCAACTTCACCTTCAGGAGTGAAGACTGGACAGTTCTGCCTTTTTCAATGTCAAATATTCTGTCACTAGCAAACTAAGAGGCCTCTTCTCGCGTGTGACTTCAACTGGTCCTACTTACTCTAACTGTCAAACCTACCTAGACAAGTGGTTCAATCTGCCACTAAACGATCTGCCCTGCACATGTGGAAGGTTGAAAAAGCCCACCTTTCACAATTGTAGGGCAACCACATTCACCTGATAGTCTCCCTTTTTTAGAAATTCCACGAGCTTCAAAGCAAACTCCAGAATTTGTATTCTAGAAACATAACTGTCCGATAACAACACATGAGATTTTTTTCTGTCTGCTAAACAAATGCTCCTTAGTTTGATCTGAGGTGTTAAAGTGCCGGTCAGAGGATGAGTAAATTTGGTGATGTGCCGCGGGGCAGCAGTAGGTTGGCTGGGGGGAACGTTTGCTATGGTAATGGTTGGGTTGTCGTAAAAGCCTTGCCGATTACTCTGCACTATAGTACCCGATTGTGGTGACATCGAGGCTGACCTTGGAGTCACCTCCCCCGCTGCCGCACTCTCCCTTGTCGTACCACCATTTGTTTTTCAATTTGTCCAAGAGGCCTTGCTCATTCAGTTTTAAAACTGCCAGGTTAACAGCATTTCTTGAAACGATAAAACATAACTTGTAAGAAAATGCACAGGTCCGTGAGAAATCTAATGCAAAGTAATAATTGTACTAAGCATCATGATAATAATAATTGTAAGAAATGGTAGTGATACTACCAATATGAAAGCAGGGGCTTATGCACAGAATCTGTAAATCAGAATGGTCTAGGAAAGGACAAATTATTTAAGAATTTAAGGAATATGGAGAGATAAGAAAGGCTCATTATCAAGGTAAAGACAGTGTTAAATCTTGGAAAAGGTGGCATGAAGGGTTACGTAGTTTAGAACTGAAGTGTGCGGGATGGGGACACTTGTCATTGAGAAGAAAAAGTAACAACAACAAACATCATGCAATTAACATTCGTCACAAGTGACAGCGCAGCTTTTAAAAGGCTAAATTGAAAAACCATTGAACTGTTAAATGAAAAGTGACAACACAACAGTCAGGTAGGACAGCAAAGGACAGAAGGAGAGATTGAAGGAGAGAGAAAGCAACAGTAAGAGAGACATGTGAAATGATTCTTAGCTTTAGCGTTATCATCTGGATTTAATTACTTGACTATAAATTAGCAACTCTTATCACATCTATAAAATATATAGAAAAGACATTTCTTATCATTAAACCTTAGTATCCAAGTGCATTAAAAAGCATACTACCGTTACCTCTGTGTCCATGAAAAAACAACAAGAGAATGAAAACAAGGGGACATCAGGGTAGGTGGAATACTATAACAGGGAGGATATTGTTATATTATTCCACCCACCCTAATGCTGAGCCTTTGGGCGTCGCCACACCGTATCCTTTCGAGTCGAGGTTGCCGCCCACTTTCATGGTGTCACAGGGCTTCCGCTGCTCGATGTACTCGTTCATGGTGGACTCGAGGAGGAAGGCGAACTTGCCTTTTGACTTTCTTACCCGGGCTACGCCATCGGGTGTGGTCTTAACAAACACTGAGGGTTCAGCGGATTTCATGTATGACCACATCTTCTCATACACTGCTATTTTGGATCGCTGTGCAGGGAGAAAAAAAAAGAGAAAAGTCATTTAGAAACATCCCAAAAATGAATATACATGTAATGGACTTCTTAGGATTGTTGTGCTTAATGATCTCTTTCTTTAAACTGGCATTTTGAAGTATTTATAGACATCTTGTAAAAAAGGCAGTGTGATATCTTTAAATACTTCTATACAAAATACAGCTCATGGACTTGTACGAGATCATGAAGTACAAAACATTTCAAAATCCATTCATCTTCATCAGCATAAACGTGCTCTTCAAATATTATGCTGCAGCTTGAGGCTCGCATTCACCGAGTGAATGAGGACCACACATCACCTGTATTGTACATAATGTCATGCAAATTGGGTTTTTAGTCGAAATACTGGGATTTTTGCACTTGGTTATGCAACAATATCTTCAATATTTAAGCTTTTGTGTCAGTGAAGTGTGGATAATGATGATTTATATGGAAACTAGCAAAGGTCTCTTGGTGAATTTGAGCCTCGGTTTATAGCCTTAATGTAACTTGTAGAACTTATTAAAGTCATTTATTTTATAAACAGCGTCCTTAATGTAACATTTCAGCTGTGACTCAGAGGCAACCAATAAGAAGTAAGAGAAGTGAACAAGAAAGCGTTACACAGACACAAGGCAACCCATCAAAGTGACACAGATGAGCCTTTCCCCAGCGCCTGGGGTCAGCTTAGCGAGCCTGTAAAATCTGTGGGAGTTGAGCGCTATCTATAATAAGAATCAATTAAATTATTCAATGCCGCTGGATTTATTTTGGCATAGGCATTTCACACTTTGAACAGATCCTGGTCCAAGCAGAGATGAGCCAGTTCCCGAGTGGCACAGTGTGTTCCTCAGTCTGGATCCCCCATTTAAAATGTGCTAGAGAAAGACGAAGGGTTGGATGGTTTTGAAGGAATGGCTGAATCAAAAGATCTACTTGTCTTTGTGTATGTACTATGGACAAGCTGTGGATATACCAGAGATACTCCCCTCCAGTATGTTAAACCTGACAAGGCCACAAGTCCCCCGTTTTGTAAACATGTTAAATGATAGGTCAATGAATTCATTAGTTGATTGACTGTGGGGCACAGCGATGATGGAGCTTAATGCTTACATTAGCATGCTAATATGCTCAAAAGAACAATGTTTACATGCTGATGTTTTTCAAGCAGTCATTTTGTATAATTTTCCTCATCTAAGAATGACATTAGCACTGTTAAAGTACTTGTCAAAATACACTTTTGACATGATAATGGCGCTTTTTATTAAAGTCACTAGCATTTTAAGCCAGTGTAGCTAAATAGGGAACATGTGGGTGATGCCCTTTCTCAAATGTTTCTGTTAAAAGCTCGGAAATGTCAAGATGTTAATGGTCATTTCTAACTGTGTATGACACTTTAGAGATGTGCTTGATTGAAAATATAATCCACAGGTTAATCAATTATGTCAGCAATGGTTAGTCATAACACATATAATGTTATTCAGTAAATTAGGAATGCTAAAATAACAGTAAAGATGATGTGTAGTGGAAATGTATTACTCAGGGTTCCTGCAGGTTTCTCCAACTCAAATTTAAGACTTTTTAAGACCTTTTTAAGACCACTTTGAATAGAATTTAAGACCTATTTCACGGCAAGAAAGTATGAAGGAAAATTGCTATGAAAGAAGAAATACGTCCCATAATTACTTACAAAGTAAATGTATTCATGTTCCACATAAGAACAATGACTGAACATAACACCTTAACAGTACACAGAACTGTGTAAGCGTGTTAGACAAAAAGTGTGTATGTATGTGTGTGTGTCTGTGTGTGCTTGAGTGTGAGTGTGAGTGTGTGTGTGTGTGTGTGTGTGTGTGTGTGTGTGTTCGCAATTACGATTTTGGCCTGCACAATTACGAAAACAACATNATACTTAATAATCAAGTACTGCTCTTTATTAGTCACATTAATAATTTAATAATCCATTTTCTCTCTGCTGGTAAAGTAACGTGATCTATTCTATTTGAACTTCAAATAGAATAGATCACGTTACTTTACCAGCAGAGAGAAAATGGATTATTAAATTATTAATGTGACTAATAAAGAGCAGTACTTGATTATTAAGTATTATTCTGTTGATCAATGTCATTACATTTGGTGATAAGCACATAAGGACTTGTTTAAGACTCGTTTTGTCAAAGTTTAGGATTTGGACTTGACTTGAACTTGCCCATCCTGACTTGAGACTTGACTTGGACTTGAGCGCAAAGACTTGAGACTTGAATCGGACTTGAGCGTAAGGACTTGAGACTTGACTCGGACTTGCAAAACAATGACTTGGTCCCACCTCTGGAGGATGTACTCGATGATGGAGGGGTAGAAGTTCACCATCATCATCTTTGGCAGGTTGAATTTCTTCAGCTGCCTCAGGAAGAACATCCTCTGCTGTGCTTTTTTGATGAGGGAGCAGATGTTCTGCTTCCATTTGAGGTCCTGGGCGATGACGGTGCTCAGGAAGCGGAAAGACTTCACAGCAGTGACTGGGGAGTTGCACAGAGTGATGGGGGTGGGTGGGGCTGCGTTCTTCCTGAAGTCCACGACCATCTCCACTGTTTTTAGGGCGTTGAGCTCCAGGTGGTTTTCCCCACACCAGGTCACCAGATGGTCCGGGGATCAGAGACGTGTTTCCCCAGCCTCACGTTCTGCTTCCTGTCAGAAAGGAAGTCTGTGATCCACCTGCAGGTGGAGTCGGGCACGTGTAGCTGGGCGAGCTTGTCTTGCAGCAGAGCCGGGAAGATGGTATTGAAGGCGGAGCTGAAGGATACACAAACAGGATACACAAACAGGATCCTTGTGTAGGTTCCTTCTGTGTCCAGGTGTTGGAGGAGGAAGTGAAGGGCCTTGTTGACAGCGTCGTCCACAGACCTGTTGGCTCTGTAGGCGAACTGCAGGGGGTCTGTGATGGATTTTAGGTGGGACAGGACAAGGCGCTCAAAGGACTTCATAACCACAGAGGTCAGGGCGACGGGTCTGTAGTCATTTCATCCTGTGATCCTTGTTTTCTTGGGAACCGGGATGATGGTGGAGGTTTTGAAGCATGCTGAGACGTGGCCTGTCTCTAGTGAGTTTTTTTTTTTTTCAGATGAGATGTGCAGTGGCAGAAACTGTGGAAAACAGGTGTGATAAGTGTGGAGTAATGATTGAAGCTTGGTGAGCTTTTTGACTCCACCTTCAACCGATTGGATTTTTGTTTTGTTCAAAGCCTACTCGACTTGAGGCAGCAACGTTTTCCTTAAAATAACTAATATGGTCAGCCACCGTGTCAGATAAGTCGAAGGAAGGCCAGGAAACCCACTAACCTTAACGCTATGCCACACCTTTCATTCAAATTCGATAACTACGATATTTAGGGTGCAAAGAGTAAGACTTAACTGCTTATCCAACGGCAACATGGCGGATAGGATTGCGCACAGTGTGGCGGTGGTGTAGCTGAAGAAAGAGCAAATCCCAGAAGACAAGAAGAAAGAAACTGTGAATAAAGAGTTTCGTCCATAGACTGTATATATAAGGAGCCGTGAAATCTGGTAATAACTAACAACGTCATTGACAAGTTTCTCTTGTCTAGCCCACGGCGCTGGCTAGCCCGAGTCATTGAGTTGGCTAGCTTCTTAGCTAACATTAGCCCCCATACGACGCGTAGACCGGTCTCCAGTCTTCTCTGCAGTGCCGACCATGACTCCTCAGCAGCAGCAGCCCTCCACCATGTCCCAGAAAGTGCAGTTCACTCTCAAGCTCTTCATGCTGGAAACTGCCCGAAGTAAACTCGAACAAGAACTTTCCAACTTCATCAAAAAGGTAATGTTAACACACCGGTTCATTGAGAACGTTCAAGTAATGTTGCTAACTTAGCTAGCTCACAGGCCACATGGACAACACACTGCTGACTAGTCGAGAACTAATGCTAATGCTAACTAATGCTAATGAGGCACACTTAGCATTAGTTGGCAGGAACTGCTGCATTTTATACAAACGAAGCGCAGTTTAAATAGGTGTCAAATCGTCACCAGAGCTACAACTTCTGCACATTATTAATATCGGTTAACACTTTTCACCAGTATCTTACTGCGGTCAAGCCAGCCTCCACTCGGAAAAACCTAGTCAAGCAAGCCCTCACGTGATATTGCGGTGCGCGAATATCCTATGCATTACGGTAGAGTAAAAAAAAATCATCCGTCTGTGTTTAGATGAGAATAAAACCAAAAATGTCCATTATCAAAGACTCATTTCACTTCAGGGTGATAGCAGGACATCATATCTAGTCACTCAGAAAAAATCAGGATATTCTGATGTACAGTTTCAAAATAAAAGACCTTTGAAGTCTCATATATGAGCTATCATCCCTGTTTTTAGATGAGAATAAAAAAAAAACTGAATGTCCTGATTTTTTTCTGAGTGACTACATGGGGTGTCCTGCTATCACCCTGGAGTGAGATGGATCTATGATACTGGACAGTTTTTGTTTTATTCTCATCGTTGACACTTGGTGAGTTCCCTGGAACACTAGGGGACACATATTCATGTATAAAAGACGTACAAAAGTGCATTTTGCATGATAGGTCACCTTTTTAAAGCAGTTTTTTGTGTTCCAACTGTCTTCTGTGCCATGTAAAATACTTAATTGATCTCAATTAAAATGACCTGTTTAAGAAAGGCTAAATAATGAGTTCACTTGTTTAATTTTGTTTAATTTTTCCTCTAGGCCTATGAAGAAGTTCAAGGTTTCTTGAATACATCTTTTCCCACTAGTGTCTTCAGTGATCTCACAAAGGCTTTAGATACAAAATATGAAGTAATTGACAAACTTTCAGCTTCATTAAAATCTCTCACAGTTGGTAAGTAAAGAAATAATCATTATAATCATACAATTTAAGATGCTTGTGACATTACATATTTTCATGTGTACAACTTTACGATTTAGGAAAAGATGTTCAGATCTAAAAAATAAAATTCTCACTTTCTCCTTTTCTTATCTTTACAGAGCCACAAGTGTGTGGCCAGCTTATCACCAAGCCTGCAGCAGTCCAACAGGATGACATCAAACACGGCATCAACAGAGCGACTACGACCCCATCGTCTCACTTAGAGGAAGAAAAAGAACGTGCTGTTGTTTTAGATGAGAAACGCCCAACAGATGCTGTGAGTCTTCCACCTGCGTCCCAGAGACCCGAGATCAACCCAGAGAGGCCACCAATACTACTGCCTCCCCTACAAGCTTCATTCCCAGGGATCAGTAACACTAATCCAATGAAAATAACTCCGCTAATGAGCTGGGGATGTAAAGATGATTTCCAGGTGAAACACCAAAAACAAACATCATCTCAGCTGCTTCACTTCCTCAGAGAAAAAGCTAAAAACGTTGGAGTACTGGAGATCACTGTCATGGATTGGAGTAAAAGTACCTTGAGTTCGCCAGAGCGGCCTGCCATCAAAACACAAAGCAACCAATTCAGACAAGTTGTGACTGATGATCTGACCAACCCACTAGAGCCGAAAACGGTATTTGCAGACATGGAAAACCAAGCCCCAGTCTTCAGAGTGAAAGGAGTGGAAGCAGATGGCTCTCTGACCTACACTTGTGTGATTGCAACAAAGACTGAATTGTGGGATGTTGTAGACATCTTCACCGAGGTGGGACGGGGAGACTTGAAAGCCATCCCCTTCGAAAATAAAGACTGCCCAAATATTACACCTCAGGTGGAGCACAACTGCCTAAACGCCCAGGGGGAAAACCAAAGTCTTCAGAGCACTGATCCCAAACATGTCAGCCATTTTGATGGTGTACAAACTCTAGCAATGAAGTGCATCACCATTCCTGAGTTCCAGACCTGCAGGTTTGAAGAGATGAAGGTAGTGGTGTCTCACATTGTCAGCCCGGGCAACTTCTACGTACAACACGCAGACTCCATCATAAAGTGGCAAACCCTTGTCCCAGAGTGAGTCTTTCAGAATGAATTCTAATCTCTTGTCTGCTTTTTTTTAAGCCTCACTGATTCCCTAATCACATTACCAGAACTTATATAGCCACTTATCCTTTAATTCATTTTTGCTTTCTTTGTAGATTTTTTTTTTTTCTTCCATTTTTAATAATCCACATGTGCCTGGTTTCCATTATTTTTTGCCCATTTACAGCAGCTGGAAAGCCAGTAGATCATATGCCGCGCAGAACTGCATTCCAGACATTGGAACCCAAGTAATAGGTTGGTTCCCTAAGCAAGAACAATGGTGCAGGACTCGGGTGACGAAGATATGTGGAGTAAGTGAAGGTGGGTTCAGTTTTGTGTATTGGAACATTCATAGATGTTTGCCAAAGCATACCTCTAGATGGTAGCAGTGTCACTTTTTTATTTTACTTGCCATAATTTCTGCCTTTTGGTTTTCCTTTATTTATTCCACTGATGGTGGAGGGAGAGGGACATCCATCAAGGTGGAGGTGAAGAGGCTGGACCAGGGTGATACAGCCTGCCTGTCGCTGTCGGACATCAAGGAGCTGACCCCGGAAATGGCCGTCCTACCACTCCAGGCTGTACAGGTCTCACTAGCAAATGTAAGTGCTTCCCTATTTTGTATGGTCAGGCCTCATCATTTTTTCACATGTATCTAGAGAACCTGACGAATACGCTAAGACATTCTGCAGATCATCCCTCCTAGGATTTGCATTCACGAAAAAGACAAATATATTGTGTTCCTCTGAGAAAGTACGCTTGGTTACAGTTTTGGCGTTTGTCCACATGATTAGTCACAGCCTTATCTATTGGGATGTGATAAAGGAAATGAATTATCTCAGTTCATGGGGTTTTTTGTTTGTTTCCTCCCCCCTAGGTGACGCCTGTGAATGGGAGTGATTGGTCTGAGGAGGCGGTGGTCTGGTTCAGGGATATGGTGGAAAACAGGACGCTCTATGCCAGGCTTTACCCACAGGGACCCAAAGTTACAGTCGAGCTATTCTTGGAAAAAGGAAGGCTCAGAGCTATGAGGTACTCCAGTATGAAACAGTCTGTTGATTTTGAATTGTACATTTAAAAAAGCTGATACAGTCAAGATTTAATGACTTATTTACAAGTGTTTTCATTTGTTTAAATTGTATTGCTATCATTGTACAAATTGTGGGTTTTGTTGATAAGTATTACAGTGAGTGAATATATGTTGACTTTATTAATGTTACAGAGTACAATTTCAAGCTTGCTAACGGCACGATATCCTAACAGTACAATGGTATTATTATTATTATTTCAGGAGGGGTGCATCACTGTCTTTGAGACTGGCCCAGAACGGACATGCCATCCATAGCAAACTGAAAAATGTCTGTCTCATGAAAATAAGTGAGTATAGCTCCAGTTTGGAAGTTGTTTACCCAAAATTGTGCATCAACAGCAGGTGGCAGTATTGCCTCTGTATGAACAGAGCAGTGCTGATTTTTTACAAATCTTGTGTTTTTGTTTTTTAGGCCAAGATAAAGTGAAGAAACAGGACTCTTGAGTGGAAGAAATATGTAATCTCGCGCTAAACTCGTAATAGTAAGCCTTGATACAGAAAGCAGTCAACAAATGTCAAATACCAATGCAGACAGGCCATAAAGCACTCAAAGCTAAACACCGAGACATTTAGTAAATCATCAGTTTGTCAAATCATTGACAAACTGCTGTGGCAGTACAAGGATATTTCATTAAACAAATAAAGTAAATATATATTTTGATTTAAAACCGGTATGTGTTTACATTAAGTAGAATGTATCAGCTTTTGTATCTTTTTATGTTGTTTCTGGAATTGAAACATTTTCAATATTTTGATTACCTATTTGACATATTTATCAGTTGTTGAGAGCAAAGTCACATCCATTTAGAGAGCAAAGGAGGAGAATCACAGAGAAATGGTTTCAAACAGAACCCATGATCGGACCCACAAATCTTGATTGGAACCCCCTTAGTCAAAGGTACGTCTAGTGAAAGCTAATGTTACTTATAACATCATGGGGTCTTAAGAAATGTATTTATTTTTTAACACACATTTCTCTTTTTAGAGACGCACAAAAGATAACGTCTTTGAAGCACTGATAAAAACTAATTGAAACACATTCTTTAAATCAGGTTGTGCTTGTAAACTGTATGGGGACATGGATACCTAAATGTGGTGCTCTTTGTTTTATAAGAACAATCCCCCCATGTACTTTAAAAGCAGCCTATCTCAAGTCCTTATCCCAGTCACTACACGTGCCAGTTCAGTTTGTTAACCTGTTGTGCATTAAGTGATACTTGATTTGTCTCTGCCACATGCAGAAGGTTTTGTTATTTAATGCCTAATTGCTTTTGTAATAACTGTGGTTGAAGCCATGTTACCCTGGTTAATATTGAGTTCTTGTATAATGGCACATTTACTATTTTGAATTTCCAGTGTATATAGTTCTGTTTTCATAATAAAATTACAAATCTACTAGTTTGGTCTGTCTTTGTGTTGTAGAGTACTGTAGCTTCTATGAAGGAATAATAATTAGGTTAGTTCATTCAAAGAATTAGCTGCCCCCCCTAAGCCTCCCACTCCATATGTCAGACGTGACGCAGAAATGCTCGTTGCACAATCGCTGTAGGTCATCTGATGGTACATGACAAATGGCCACATTGTGTTTTCACTTTCTACTGTAAATAATTTGTCCTACTGTTATAGGGGGGTGTTTGACAGCAACGAAATGTACAATCTCAGCTCATAATAATCAAAGGTTTGAGCTGCAGTTCTGTAGCTCATTGGTTAGGACATTAGTGTTTTATAGCATATACAGTCAATGCAATAAACAACTATAATCAAAACTACTGGATATGTGTCCTAGTGTCTGTAGAGTGTGATTATATTGGTTCCCACAAAGGGTTATCAAAACAAATCGATAGAATAAAATGTTATTTAAAATTAGTTAAGACCAAGATAATTAGTTCCCGGGCAAAATGTCAGTAAGAAAAGCACATGGCACAACAATTTAATTTAATAACAATTAACATCATTTACAGTATTGCAGCATGTACAGTTGTACAAATCAAGAAAGAAAATGGACCTATATGGTACATCAACAATAACAAAAAACATGGTGTGTATGAATGAGATTCTCTTTAAGACTGGCTTTTTAATCTTCTCCTACATCCGTGTTTTGCGTTAGTTATACAGCTAATTTTCTGTCTGAATCTGCAGACCTCATGCAGGTCCAAATCTTCCTTCCCTGACCAGCACAATAAATTGTTTTTCTGGCAGAGGCCTTTTGTGTCCACACAGATTCCTCCTTTTGCCCGGGGTAGGCGGAAGTCAAGGCGTTTGATCTGAATTCTAAAGAGTCTTGTTGCAGCACAATAAAGGCTGCCATTGTATGTAAATAGTTTATATAAGAGCATATGACTGCTACGGTGCAGGGCACTGGCTAGTGGCGGAGGGAGGAATGATTAGCATTTTCCAAACGCAGGGTGTTCTCAACCCAGCCTTTAGGATTGCTAAAAAACACAATATTTTTATTCATTTCTTCTTTGTACACATTTTTGTGTACCAACACAACTGAAGGTAAAATGTGGATTATTTGTTTCTATTTTATACTAACATTCAGTGTGCAATGAGGTCTGATTTTATGTGAGTGAGGGCTTACATGCCCCATTGCCTCGACTTGACAAATACTTGCCGTGATTGTTAAAGCATCATTACCATTTGAAGTGATTTTATTTGAATTAATCAGCTTCTAATGTTCGCACTAGGTAAATCTGGTATTGTAGGTAGCCTTTGTCACAAACAAAAGAGATCTCTCAGTTGTCTTTTTAAAAAAAAGAATCTGCTGAGTTGGTTGTCTTGCTTGTTCCTTGGAGGAATTTGCTGGCAGGATGTCAGTCTGTCTGCTTCTGGGCTGTGGGTCAGTTTGGGAGAACAGTATTAATACAGCGTGAGCAAATCACGTGGCTCGCCGAATCTTTCGCAATTGGCTTCGCCCTGTTGCGTATGGTGACGGCGCACAGCAGCAGGCCATCACCCCTGCTTTTATACGGCCAACTTGCTACTTGGCAATTATTTTCTGTTGTTCCTCACTCTGCCAGCTTGATGCTCAGGCCAAACCTCAAGATGGTCATCTTTGGACCCGGCGCTGCTTACGCTGCTTGCACCGCTGGCTGAGCCTGGTAAACCTCTAAAACTACTGTAACATCAGTTAGACTTTTACTAAATTACTAAGTTGTGGCCGACAATAACTAAGTCGTCTAAAGTGATAAAGCAATGTCTATGTAAGTCCCTTTTGTTCAATTTCAAGGACTAATTCCCGCATCTTTCTTTAAACATTAATATGGTTATAAGATTTCACTTTAAGCCAGAGATGTGACTTGGCTTACATTCATATAACCTTTCTTTTTCCGCAGACCTGGAGTCGAAAATGAACTGGGGAGCCTTTTATGCCGTGATCAGTGGCGTAAACAGGCACTCTACCGGGATTGGACGCGTTTGGCTCTCCGTCATCTTCATCTTCCGTATCCTGGTCCTGGTGGTGGCTGCGGAGAGCGTTTGGGGGGATGAGAAGTCCGGCTTCACATGCAACACCCAGCAGCCCGGCTGCAACAGCGTCTGCTACGACCAGTTCTTCCCCATCTCGCACATCCGCCTGTGGGCGCTCCAGCTCATCCTGGTCTCCACCCCCGCCCTGCTGGTGGCCATGCATGTGGCCCACCGACGCCACATCGACAAGAAGATCCTGAGGAAGTCGGGCCGCAGCAGCCCCAAGGAGCTGGAACGTATCAAGACCCAGAAGTTTCAGATCAGTGGAGCTCTGTGGTGGACATACATGCTCAGCATCATCTTCAGAATCCTGTTCGAGCTGGCTTTTCTCTACATTTTCTACTTGATCTATCCTGGCTTTAGGATGGTGCGTTTGGTGAAGTGTGACTCGTACCCATGCCCCAACACGGTGGACTGTTTTGTCTCCAGACCGACAGAAAAGACCATCTTCACTGTGTTCATGCTGGCAGTGTCTGGGCTGTGTGTGCTGCTCAACCTGGCCGAGGTTCTGTACCTCATCGGCAGGGCCTGTCAGCGGTGCATACGAAGCCCCGAGGAGGGGGCAAAAGGAGCTTGGATAAGTCAAAGATTCTCTACTTATAAGCAAAATGAAATCAATCAGCTGATCGCAGACCATTCTCTCAAATCTAAGTTATCTGTGACCAAAAAGAGCCCAACTGAGAAAGATGAGAGGTGTTCTGCTTTCTGAGACTCTGCCTCTCCTCATACTTTTAAACTAATCTACAGTAACCACATTCATGGAGCATGTTGCTCTGCATTACTGGCACAGCATCTGTATATTTTGGTCAGTGTACATACAGTATACATGATTTATTCCATCGTTCATTTATTCATCTGTTTTTTCTTTCTTACTGACAAGTATAGTTGCTGTTGAAACGTGTCTAAACTATTTGGAGCCAGTGGTGAAAGTAAAAGAGGTGTGTTTTGTTTCGGGTGTAGTGTATTGTCAACAATTTGCCATAGCTTATTTTGGTGTTTTTTGTTGGTATGCAGTATGAGAAGCAACCTGCCAAAGTGCAAAGTATCTTCAGCCAATGAAAAACATGTCTGAGCATCAAAACGTATTCAGTTTACGACAAAGTTGCTTGGTAATTCTATTTCAAATATGGATTTGTTTGAAAAGCATGCAGGTTTGGTAAGTTGGCAGACTGTTTAAAAACCACCAATTCCTGCCATACAGTTATAGATATATGATGTATTCAAATCATCAAACATTGATTTAGAAATATATTACAGGCAAAGTGTCCCTTTTGAAAGGTTTCTGTTGGGAAAAAGCTAGAGTAATGGATCTCAGTTTCTCACCGGCACCTGAATGCAGACCCAAAACATTAAAACAACACAATTTGGATTAATCCTAGTATTAAAACTAAAGAAATCCATAATTTTAGATAACCGGCCATACTGTGCAAAAAAAACGCTGGGGTCCGTACTCCGTAGGTGCAAAGATTACAGTAAACATTAATATGCTGGATAAAAAAAAAAAAGTTTTATTTATATCAAACATGTTAATATGCACCATATTCAATTGTAGCCTGAATAAAAGCTGATCTGTAGTAGCCCTTATAACAGTTGGTTTAAAAGAATGTCTATAATTGAACAACTTTTATTAGATATTTTAGTTCAAGTGCATAAAAAATAATAAAATAAACATTTGGAATTACATTTCCACAAACATCTCTGCTACTGACCCAATATTAATGTATGTATATTGACAAGAGTAGTCAGAATGGTGCACAGAGCAAAATAGTATTTCAATAAACCTTGAAGAATCCTAGTACTGTAAATATGTTTTGTGCATGTATTTAATTGTAAATACTGCTGCATACTTACCTTGTAGCTTCTGAGTTGTTGTTTTTGTTTGAGGTTTGCCTACTAACAGACAGTTGTACTTGTTTTCCCTAATATCCCTCTTATTATATTATAAATATACACTGGTATCTGTACATACAACTATTGTATTGTTATACACATTGTATCACATACAAAAATTCAGATTCAACAGTTATGCTTAAATGTAAATATGAATTTACTCCCAGTTATGCAATCCGGTTAATATTATATTATGTGGGTTGAAACTATACTTGTACATTGTGTAATATAATGCAATAAACTGCCTGATAATGTATCATTATTTGAACTTATTTATATAACAATTTAGTTTTTTTCAAAAAGTTTTACCAAATTGGTAAAGAGTGACATCTGTCAAAAGAAGAACAGAAGGTTCATTTAGGATGATATGAACTGTGTTTTCCCTTTGTATACTGGGCCAACTCTCAATACTGAAATGTAGAAACAGAACTTTTCCCTCTCTGTCACTGTGATTGTAACTTGAGGATGCAAATGGCTACTCATCTCCAAATCATGCCCCCCATGATAGGAGAGACCCTCGTGCTATATTTAGATCCACTTATAGCCAGACAGACTTAGCGGACACCTTCATTGGCCAGCTGCCCTGTCACTCACTCTAACAAGCGAGTAGAGGGGCTTTATTAGTTTACATTAGAGAGTGTACCCTGTGCCAAATTTAACCGCGGAGGGGAGGGGTGTTGGAGGCTGGGCAGCCGGACATGGTTGAGAGAGGGTCCAGCAGGTTACGTGTGTGTGTTGTGGCCAGTGGAAGACCCCGAGGCCTGGGTCCTGATTCTTGCCTTAGTTGTATTTGAGGCGAGAAGACTGAGTCGGTGGGTCTGTCGGTGTGGAACGGAGGTTGTGTCCAGCAGAAGTCCACTTTTCCGGTCCATTCAAGGGCATTGCTGGGGGCCCGAAGATCAACTCTCCACTGAGGCCTGTCAGCGAAGCAGGCGGCCTCATGGACCCTCGAAGACGTGTAGGGCTTCACCGCAGGGGATGCATAAGCTGACAAGGTGGGTTTATCCAGTAAATCTGAATTCTCTGTGATTAGGTTTGGTACATTAAGGTACGGTTAGTGGTTAAAGTTTAGTATAAGGGTATAGAGGCTGTCATTGGTCATCAGGCTGTGTTGTGTAGGAACAATGCTCTGTTTTCTATTCATGTTCATGATCTTTTCTTCTTATGGGGGATTACATAGTCTTAAAGTCTAATATAGAAAGCAAATGTTGGTTTAAAATTACAACCCAGTCTACAGGTGTTGAAACACTGGCTAGATTTATTAGTGGTGGCTCCCTAAATATCGTTTCACCTGCCACAGTTTTAGCAGTTATCAGAATTCATTGTCGCTCACAGTAGCAGACCGTGAATGTGCTGTTAATCCACTGCACACAGTCCATATATCAAATGTAGAATATATTTATAACAATGTGTTACAGGAGCTGACAGGACCGACATTACTCAACTGTTTCTAATTCTCAATCTAACCACATCTGCCCGGTGTTTTATTTCACCTCATATATAACTCATGTAGCTGTGGCTCCAGCCACTGAGGCTGGGAGACTCAGAATCATGACTGGAAGCTCCCCCCCCTGTCCACACTTGCCAAATATATACCCTCCTAAAGTAAATATAAACCTGTCTGCGTCCACGTGGAAAATGCCACTACCTGCTCCCCCTGTTGAACACTTGGTTAGAAGCTTTGCTCTCGTCTTAGTTAGACGTTAAAGAGAATATTTAGATATCAGAAACCCTGTAGCCCACTTCAACCATTAGATTAATAATATTAAATAAGTCACAAGTGACATTAAAGAATAATTTTTGACTGTTTTCATATCTCCAGTCCCAGATCTGAGATCACACAGCCATGGGGGACTGGAACCTGCTGGGAAAGCTTCTCGAAAAAGCCCAGGAGCATTCCACTGTGGTGGGGAAGGTGTGGCTCACCGTCCTGTTCATCTTCCGCATCCTGATCCTGAGCGCGGCCACAGAGAAGGTGTGGGGCGACGAGCAGTCGGGCTTCATCTGCGACACCAAGCAGCCCGGTTGCGAGAACGTGTGCTATGACATCACTTTCCCAATCTCACACGTCCGCTTTTGGGTTCTGCAGATCATCTTTGTGTCCACGCCTACGTTGATCTACCTGGGGCACATCCTCCACCTGGTGCGGATGGAGGAAAAGCAGGCAGAGAAGGACAGGCAACATGCCTTACATTCAGACAAGCAGGCCCTCATAGTGGAGGGTAAGCCCAAGAAGCCCCTGGTGAGGGACGAGAGGGGCCACGTGCGCCTGCAGGGAGAGCTCCTGAGGACATATGTCTTTAATGTGATCTTTAAAACCCTGTTTGAGGTGGGCTTCATTGTGGCTCAATACCTCTTGTACGGCTTTAAGCTGAAGCCCATGTACAAATGTGACAGATCGCCCTGCCCCAATGTGGTAAACTGCTACATATCCCGCCCTACAGAGAAAACCATCTTCATCATCTTCATGCTGGGAGTGGCCAGCGTGTCTCTGCTGCTCAACCTCATAGAGATCTACCACCTGGGCTTCACCAAGTGTCGCCAGGGCGTCGCCTTCAGGAGGCGCTATCAATCCTTTAAGGGTGTCCACAAGGAGCCCAGCGAGGTGGCGGCGGCGTACGGGCCGAGTTACGACGACTACTTTCACCAAGTGCAGCCGCCCTACCCCCCCGTTCCCAGCTACAACCTCTCCCCTCTGTCCGAGGGCACAGACTCGTCCTTACACCCCTACCACAGCAAGGCGGCATACAAACAGAATAAGGACAACTTAGCGGTGGAAAGGAGCAGCAGCAACCCAGAGGAATGTGACCTGAAAGCACAGAAGGGAGCAGGATCGGCCCCCGGGTCACCTACGCAGGCCAGGCCCGGCCGCAGTGCCAAACACAGCAACAACAAGACTAGAATAGACGATCTGCAGATATGAGGAGGTTTATGTTTCTCTGGGGTGTCTTAAGTTGCTGCGAGGGGATCGTATGTTGTTTGAAAGCATTCACACATGCTCAACTGACCCCTTTTTAAGATGGCGGATTGACTCATTCCAACTGAGAAAGGAGTGACACTGCAGGGTGCACCGAGCTGTTCAGTAATGTACAAAGACTGATGCTGGTCACATTTCTGATGAACTTCTTCTGTTCCACTGAGAAGTGTCCCATAGCTGGCTTTTGTTTTTATCCCTCCACGATTCACTTTTGTCCCTGAGAACCTAAAATCAACAACAAATATAGTCGGATCAGGTTTTACATGAATGTGAATGAATCCAAAAAACGCACCTGTGTGTACAAAGCTGCCAAAACTTTGGGAACAGAATCCAGGGCAGAGGCTTGTTCATGTCTGGCCTGACCTCATTTGAGGAAATCAGATAGGGTAAATAGTAACATTTAACTTCCTTTAACAGTTTTGAGGTCACCAGTGTAGTTCACTTGCTTAGGCTTGAAATGAAAAGTCGTGCGAACACATTGAACATTGGAAATACTCAAGCCTAATTCCAGGACGCGCCTCAAAAGAAATTGCACTGGTCTCAGGAGTTCCCACATTTGGGCCGCCTCCTTTATTGTGACAGCCAGCAAGTACATAATTACAAGCACATTGTTTTGTTGATCCTTGTTTATATCTCTGTTTGTGCCGTTTGTTTATCCGTGAGGTACTTGGTGACAACCATATTTGTAAAACTGCTTGAAATAAATCTGTCTTAAATTTGCAAAGTTAGCAGAGGATTTATAATCTCAAGTCTTCCTCAGCAAAAAAAAGGAGAATCACTTCAGTGGAACACATGTCGCAAGTGTTATTTCATACTCCTGGAAAAAATACAATCAACTCAGGAGTTGAAAGAATAATATTGGTCCTATGTATAGTCTCTATGAACGGTAGCTCAGATAACTGCACTGTACATATATTAACTCTGAGTCTTTTATTTTTGAATCTCTTAAATGAGCATCTACAGTACCAGGTGTAGTTTGAGTCATCAGTATCCACCCAGAAACATTTGTTGAGCAGGAAGAAACATGTCATGAGTAAAGCCTTTGCGGTCTGAATATCCCACACATGCACAACATGGTGTCCCGGGAAAGAGGAGCCCCCCCCTATGGAAACCTTCAAATGAATGACATGGCATGTCTCATACCTTCGGACTCCATCATTTTCTGTCTATGATTTATGTGTCAAGGGGAATAACAAATACAATTGTTTCTTTATTTGCATTAAAAACGGACTTTCTGAAAAAACAAATCTTTTAGTTGAAGTTTATTAATGTATTGAGATACGATTGAGTGTAGTCATACTATTCTATACTTTAGGTTGCTGTGGAGCCAGAAACGATGTCTCTTATCTCCCAGACAAAACAGCAGGATTGTTATGTGTAATGTATGGCTCCATAAATCATAAAGTCATCCAGAATGTCTCTGATTCTAAAAAACATAATCTTTCACAGATGGAAATAAAACACCATGATGTTATAAAGTGA